TTTTATTATTTTTGGTTTGATTAATTTTTAATTTCTTTAATTAGTTCCCGATTAATTCAGTTCAATTTAAGAATTTAGATTAAATTGAAATGGCTCCCCAATGTACCCGTCTCAAAAATCATGCTTTCCTTTAAGTCGAACTATGTAGCAGATAAAGTCGAATATATTATCGATAGAAATCAAAGAAGATTCAAAGATAATAATTCGTTTTGATCTCTTAGGATTTGATATGTGTGCATATCTTTCAGTGATTGACCGCTAGTCCAATTTCAAAAGCAACCCAATTGAGGCAGAAAATTAATTGAGCCGAAAGCATGACAGACTAAGATAAAACATAGAAATAAATTGTAAATGGTTAACTAAATTTATACTTGATTAACATGTATTTATTTTTGTCTAAAATTTATTCACTTCTTAACTCATACTGAAAAAGAAAGTGGCTTGAGAATAAAATTAATCTAATGCAGAATTTACTTTGTACTTCTTTTCTTTTTAATTCAACTTGCTTTATGTACAATGAATTTGTGAAAAAAAATTCATTGGATTGACACAAGCATATCTTACTTTGATAAGCTTTCATCCATTAAATTTACTCGTTCGTTATTCACAATGAATTATTAGTATTATTATATCTAACAAGACTAAAAAAATGCTAACAAAAACACCATCTATATACTTTTTTGTCTTTTTTGTTGGAATTTATTAGCTGAGAAACAATTTTTTAAAAGCAAAAAAATTTATACTTTTTATAAAATAAAAGATTAAATAAATAAATAGTAAAGTGAAAAAGTTTTATTATAAAAATCGATTAAAGAATAATAAAATCTTTATTAAACTGCACAGTATACATCACACGGCGCTTCTTTTACACCAAGATACGGGAAAAGTAAGACCTGACTAGTGCCAAATTGATGAATAAAATGATTGATGGATTGGATGTTACCACTAACTCGTGAGATTCCAAGCTGCGTGAATATTGAACAGTGAATGGAACAGTGCAAAGTGCAAATTCCACCTATCTACCTTGCATTGCATTACGTAACCCGCGTGCGATTTGTGATGTGACCCAAGAACCCTTCGTCCGTGCATGTAAGATATGCTTGTCCTTGACTCTGTTTTAGAAATTAGCCAAAGCCCAAAAGCCTTTTCAATGCAATTTTCTTTGTTGGCTACTTACATTACATACATATCTTAACGATTAATTATCAATTTGATTACAAAAACTGCTAATCGTTTATTCGATCATATTATTTGAACTAAAATAATTATATTTTAAGGTATCAAACACCCGTCGGGTTAGGTTGGAATTCCTTATTGGATTCGGTGACAAAGGAAAGTGTATGAGGAAACGTGGTTTGTTGGGGCACCCAAACGAGGCAGATCACCCCTGCCCCGCGCGGGTATAAGAACAAAAGTCGTCATTCCACCACCTAACGATCTGCATATTATTGGAAATTTTGTGTTCAGAGCACATGTTGCCTACATAGGGAATAGGTGCACATATTTAAATCAGATTTTTTAAAATAATTTTAGACGAATTTTTTTATATTATATATATGTGTATTAAAAGTTTATTTAAAAATTTCGTAAATTAAATTAATTAAATGATTTTAATCTTCTTTTACGCAAAAATATCCATCAAAATATTAATTTTTTGTTAAAATATACAAAAAATTAATTTTTTCCTACTCAAATCTTAACATCAAATCTTATAAAATTATTCAAAAGTTTACTATTTTTACTTTTAAACATTTAAATTAATGTAAACTATAAATCTATCTTAAACCCTCAAATATTTATAGAGAAAATAATAATGTAAAGATTTAAATTGGAATAAAATCAATGGGGGAACCACATTTGCTTAATTTTAAAGTAACCATACAAATGGTTTTTGGATGTCTTAGCAATGAAACCGTTTTTTGATTTATAATAAAAAACTAAAATCATGGGAAAAAGAAAAAGAAATCCACTGCAGAGAGGCTAGGCTAGTAGTATACTATTTACCCCATACAATTTCCCAAACAGAGTTATGCATGTATAATTTATTAAAGATGCGTGGACCCTGTTATCCCATATTACTCTTTTCAACATATTTTTTGTAATTATTTTTAAATAAATTTATTTATTAATTAATTTATTATTTTCTAAAAATTATTTTTCTTAAAAAATGATCTATTATATGAAAAGTGCTTAAAAGAGTGTCTTGTTAGCCATATTCCTCGTCAAACAGATTAAGATCGCATGGATCAGATGAAACACAACGGAGAAAACACACGCGGATAGAGTAACTACGATTATCATTAAAAACCAAATTGAAGTTTTGTTTCCTAATTTGTCATAAACGCAAAACAATAACCGGGGACAGTGTAAAAGTGCATGCGATCGATGGGATATAAATATATGCACACCAAACTTAAAATTTTAATTCAATTCTTCGGCTTTCACATAGCTGCAAACGTTTCCTAGATAATCTGCGAAACAGCACTAGACAAGAGAAATGCAAATAAAAAAAATGTCTAATTCTGTGACGTCGACATATTTAATTACTATTTTTCTTTACCAAATATTTATCTTGTTTAGGGTATATATCTAACACCGTTGAAGTTAAGCATTAAATTTGATATCATAATTTTACGATATAACGCTGTATTTGTATTGAATGTAATGAGCGATTGAAATAAAATAGAGTGAAATTTGAAAATTTCAATGGGTTTCACAACCGCGATTTCTCTCTTTTGTTTTTGCTTTTTTCCCGTGAAATGCACTGTTTACTATGGGGATGCTTAAATTTTTATATTAAAAATAATAATAAAATTGTTAAGGAAAAATATAATAAAAAGCTCAATTAAGAAATAAGATAATGCTAATTTTAAAAATTAATATAAAAAGCCTTTTATAGTATTTATTTATTTTTATACTTATTTGGACTCATTTTTCTATTAGATTTAGGCGTTTCCTTAGTGTAGTGGACCACTTGGGACTGGCAGTATGAGAAAATAACTAAAATAGCACAAGCACAAGTTGATGCGTGAAAGAGAAATGCAGAGAAAAATGGGTAGTAAAAGAGTTGCAAAGGCGTTTAGCATCATAGCATCAATGGTTATGGTAAAGTAAGTCAATGGAATGGTCCAACAAAAGAGTGGGTTGCAGATGTTGCAAATGCTGCAGAAGCAGGCGCACACAGTGAGAACACAATACAAATAGCCTCGAGTAGAGAGAGAGAAAGACAAAAACTGTGTAGTGGCCCAGTGAGCCTTCATTCACTTCCTCACTTTAATTTACCCACACTTAATTGGTTCACAAGAACGAATGTCTTTACTGGAATTCAGTAGTTCTTGGATTCTCTACCCCCTCCAATACCTTTCCTTCTGTTTGGATTGATTATTTTAAATAATTATTTAGAGTCTTTTAGAATATTAATTTACAATTATTTTTATAAATAAATAATTTATTTTGCATAAGTAAAATTTTAAAATTTATGATTGAAAGTTATCAATTTGTCCTTTGGTTAACATTTATTTCTTATTTATTTGTGTCTTCATTAATTTTTTTTATTTATTCATAGAAAAGAAAACACATTTTTATTTATTTGTAATTTAAAAAGATATCAATTATTTTTATTTATATAAAATTTATAGTATAATAAATAAATAATTATATTATTTGAGTAGTTTACAGATTTAAAAAAATAATAATATATTATTATACTGGTAATCAATCAAGAGTGAATAAAAAAGTATAGCAGATAATACTAATAAAATAATTGAACATTTGTAATGGATAATTTTTTAAAAATAAATAAACAAGAATGAATGTAGTATTTTTTTTTTAAATGATATAAGAAGTTAGTGAATTGTATATTTTTATTTTTTTAAAAATTAATGTTAAAATGTTTAAATATTTTCGTGTCATTTTGTAATTGTTGTGTATAATTATTATCATTTTATTAATATCTTTTCATTTATTGACGTTAAGTATAAAAGGTTAAATTATAAATCATTTCATATTATTTGAACTAATTTTAAATTTGACATCTTGGCTGTGGAATTTGGTGAGGATACTGCTCAAGAATAATATTAGATTTTCATGTTTTGAAGTCGCAGGCATGTACTTTCCAAAGCGTATCAGATACATAGGAGAGAAATTGAGAAAAAGAAAAGGTCAATTTCTTCCTTTCACAATCAGATTAAATAAAATAATGATTTCACATTTTTAAAAAATTAATAAACCCCACAGATAATTTCAAATATATTGGGTGAGAGAATATTAAAAGAATACAAAAAGATATTAAAATGAAATAGCCTGTAATTAGCTTTGCATGTCTGAACCCGCTTAATGCATGGCACAATTTAAACATGTTTAGAATCTAATCTGAGCATGCTTTAAAATATGGTTAACAAAAAAACTTATAATTAATAGCATAAGAATAAACGAATCTAAGATTAGTAAAAGTGAATGAAAATAGAGGCTTTATGGCTGCACTTGCAGGACAGTCCTGGCTCTGACTCGTGAAGGGGTATTGGTTTGGGCTAGGGTTTGAAAGAGTGGCTGAGAAAGGCAATAATTAGAAACTGGACCAGCGTGCAGGCCGTGTGAGAGATAGAGAACCAACATCACCTCTTGTCGGTTGTTCTATGAGACAAAACTTGCAGTGTAGTCATCACTCACTCTCAGTGCAAAACAACCCCACTGTTCCTTTAGTACATGATTCTTATTCTTATGGGGTTGCACTTGGATGGGTGCTGGGAAACAACACCTTCTTCTACCTAGGCCCTCCTCTCTCCTTATTAACACCTCATCAATTAACATTTTTATTCCTTGTCCCTCTTATTCAATGCCAAAACTTGTTAGTGTTTTCAGGTGTTTTTCCTCTCTCTCTCTCTCTCACTCCAGCTTTTGCTGCTGCAATTAAGCTTTCTACTCTTCAAATCTATAATTTAGCCACCAAGCTAGGGACCCAGTTGATAGACTCATCTCATTTCAATCAATTTCTAATAGTTTGGGTTTTTTTTTTTTTTTAACTAATTTGTCCTCTCTCTTTCTTGTCTTCAGATTTTTCTATTCATAAAAATTGTACTACTTTGTTTCCACTTTTCCAGTGCTACTAGTGCTGCAATATACGGTTAAATCACTGGTTTACGTTTTCCGATAACAGTGCATTAATATTGACGCGTCAAATTTGATTGGTGGGTTTAGCAAGCGTCAATATCAGGATAAGCACAGGAAAAGAACAGTTGTTGGTGTGCTAGTAACCTTGATTAAGTCTGTTCTTCAATTAGAGGGGATGAATTAGGGTTGAATAAGTTACAGGAAGATCCACAACCATAATTTAAAAAAAGAATTATGAAGCAGATGATGATGATTATTTAAGGAATATTAGATTAAAAAAAAAGATAGGGGATGAGATCAAGTTTAGATCTTGGCCTTCTTTATTAAAAAGTAAGATTTGATGGACATGAGAGAGCAAGATAATAAGGAAATAGAGATGCCTAGTACTTTGGGTTATAATCTCCCCAATAGAAATTCCTCTTCTTCCAAGCTAAGTTCTCCAACTCTAGCTTCAACAGTAGTAGGGGATCAAAGAGGTGATCATGATCAACCTCCTCAAAGTCGCACAATAATTTTCAGTGATCCATCCCAAAACTCACATCACCATCATCTTTATCCTTCTTCTCTTCCACCAAACCCACTTCAACTTCCACAAACAAACAGACCCAGAAGGGATCCAGATCCAAGTCCAATTTCTCCTCCTATAGTCACAACAAGCATAACAAACACCCCAAGAACAGCACCACCACCACAAACAACAGGAACTACCGCAGTTAGATACCGAGAATGTCTGAAGAATCATGCAGCAAGCATGGGGGGTCATGTCACAGATGGATGCGGAGAGTTCATGCCAAATGGAGAAGAGGGAACTGCAGAATCCTTCAAGTGTGCAGCTTGTGAGTGCCACAGAAATTTTCACAGAAAGGAAGCTGAAGGAGATTCACAACACGTTTTCAACTACCACACCTCTTATCCCAACAAGAACAACGCTCACAATAGGAACATTCATTCTCCTCAGTCTCATCTTCAGTTTCCTACACCTCACTCTTCTCTTCACCAACTTCATAGACTTTCTTCTTCACATGGGGTTGTGGGAGTGGCCACCCCTTCTGGGGGTTTGATTCAGCCCATGATGATAGGCTTTGGAGGAGGCCCAGCTGAGTCCTCAAGTGAAGATCTCAACATGTTTCAGTCAAATGATGGAGGCCAATTATTATCAGTGCAACCACCGCTATCATCAAAGAAGAGGTTCAGAACCAAGTTCACACAGCAACAAAAAGATAGGATGATGGAGTTCGCTGAGAAACTGGGGTGGAAGATCCAGAAACAAGATGAGGAGGAAGTGCATCAATTCTGCTCTCAAGTTGGTGTAAAAAGACAGGTTTTCAAGGTTTGGATGCACAACAGCAAGCAAGCTATGAAGAAGAAGCAAACGTAAGAGCCCATTGTCCTCGTAATTTCATCTCTTTTAGACTGTTGATTTGTTATTTATTTATTTTATTTCTGTTTAAGAAAATTAAATACCAAAACTTCAAGCGAATCTTAGATGTGAATATTAATACGGATAAGGAAATAGCTAGCTAGCTAGATACATTAGTTGAAAGCAGCTATTATGTATTTTCATCTGTATGTTATTAATTAATTAACATGATTTCACCATTCAATTTCAATCTCCAATCTTTTATATTTGCGTTATTCTTTGATATATAAACACAGGCATCGACAAAAATATCACGAATTATTTCTCAACTGATTATCATGGTTTCTCTGAAGGAAAAACTACATAACAAAAGAATAGAAAAGATGAAGTAATAGATAGATAATAGAGAGCATGTCAACCGTAGGTGGTAGCGATGAACTTGGATGTGTTACGTTATTAGAAACTTAAGCTGGCTATATGAGTGTATTTCATGCATTATGCTTAGAAGTACTTTCTTATTGTGATATAATCATGGAAGCCTGGGTTCGTGAACCCATTCACTTTCTTGCAAATCAAAGTTGAAGGCTTTGGGGAAAATAGGATCCCACCACATCCACCCAACCACACAATTTTGTCAATTTTGTCCTCTAATAGGACACGGACAGATGAATTAGGAGACAGTACCCGCTCTTTTCTCAAATTGCCTTTCTGAGGTATTGAATGTGTATGGTCTACCCGCATGAAATCATCACATAACCAAAATAAAAGAAAAGAAATATAGAAAAATGAACATAGAAAGAAGGAGGGCTGAAGGAGAGAAATTTCTTGCTTTTAATGCATGTATAAACTTTGTATTTCGGCATGTTAATTCAATGCGAATTTTGTCCAAGATACATGAGATACACGGTGACTGAAATTTGAGGTTGAACTCGAGTTTATAAACTTTTATTTAGATCAATAACTTGATATTGTGAAATTGATTAAAAATGGTTTTCAGTGAATTGATTTATATTTTAAAATATGATTTTGATATAATGAAGGTAATTTAGATAGTGTTAAAAATTTTTACAGTTAGATGAATAAATACTCAAATACATTCTTAATATTTAATAAAAATAGTTGAATGAAAGTTGATACGATCTAGTTTAGATAAATTTTTAAAGCAATATTTATAGGAGAAGACTATACAAAAAGTAAAATAAATAAAATTTCTTTAATAAGTTAAAATTTAATCATAAATATAAATTTTTATAGAAAGTAAATGAAATAATATTTTTTTTAAATAAAGAAGTATAAGTTAATTTTAATTTATTAAAAAAGTTTAATTTATTTATTTTTATCTTGCAATTCCTTATTAAAATATTTATAATTTACATATTTAAATTTTTTAAGAAAGATTGGTTTAGATAATTTAAAGTTACATATAAAAATAGTTTTTTTAATAGAGAAATGAAAAAAAAAATTACAGTTTTAGTTCATCCAAGCTAAATGCATTGGACTAATAACTTGCTTATTTATGTATCGTTAAATGTAATGATTGATTAGTAATTAATTAAGTCTCTTAGCTTATTACTAATGATGTCTAATAATGTATTAGTCTTGTAAAACCCAATTTTAATACGCCGAATTTAAGGAAATATTCTCTAGAAAAAAGTCATATTGAGAAAAAACACGAGGAGTTCTTGTCCAATCACATTGAATAATTGCATACTCTTGTGTGTCACATGATTATTTTATGGTCTTAGAAAATTACGTAAACATAACACTTCTTAAAGACGATTAAGAAATGATACGTGACGTGCATACTCTAAGACAAAATTCAGTCAATTGAAACAAAATTTATACAATCAAAACATTTTTAAGTAAATGATATATAATTCACAGTTTAAGACATTCGATAAACACAATACTAATTTGTTTCTATAAAAATTAACCTTTTGTTTATTTAGTCAACTGAAGAACGTTCACAAAATTCATACAAAAATATCTTATTATTTTATTTCTATAACTAAATTAACAAAATATTTTATAAATGCTAATTTAGTGTAATTATGTAGACTATCAATATTATTTTATAAAAATATGACTTATCTCTCATAAAATCACATTTTACTCTGTTAATTAACTAAGTTTACTTTGTACAAAATTAAAATGCCTAAGTTTACTGGGGCAAGTGAATCATGTATGTTTAAAGTGCATTAATAATAAATTATGATATTGTCAGCTCAAAAACTGACAAAAGATAATGGTCCACTCCTGCACTAATCAAACTAAATCTCCAACATTCGCTGTAGTTTTTTCATTTTTTCAGCCTTGATTATTGAGCTGACCACCAAACCCATGAATTAATCAGGTCATTGCATAGTCTAAAAGCATTAGCTAGCTTATATAGAATTCCAGCATGCCAAGAATGATGGAGAGGATCATGAGCTTGTAGGAATTTGCTGTTGGTGGTTAAGAAATCAACATAGAAAATATTAAGTAAAAAAAGTACAAGTATTTAAAGTTTTAAAAATTCTAAAAATATTTAACATAAATCTAAATAGTTAAAAATATTTTATATAAAAGTTTAAAAATTTTCATTACGAAGACTAAGTATCTGTTTGGTGCTGCAAAAACACAATTTTGGGAGGTTGAAATGGAATTTGAAGCATTTTTGCACATTTTTGAAAAATGTCCAGTGAATGTGTAAAAAGGCAAAACGTGTTTATAACAGAGACAATATTACGTGTATTTGGATTCATGTTAAAAAGTCAACAAAAATAAATCTAAGAAAGAAGTTACAACTTGCAGTATTAATATAAATTTGGGTCTAAGGCTAATAAACCAAACATGCATTATACAAGTCTTACTTTTTTATTAGGAAAAAAAAAAGCCTTAACGTTTGAGTTGAGAATTTTATATTAAATTTTATTATAAATTTATTGTCAAGATAATTTTTAAAATATAAATAACTTTTTAAAAGTTTTATTTTAGTTAAATTAATCATTTTTATAAAATTTAAAATTTAATTTAATTTTTTGGTGTAAAATATTTTACATTATTAAGTAATTAAAATATATAATAAATACAAATTTTAAAATAATTATTATAAAAATTATTTTTTATTAATATTTAAATGAAAAACTTAAAGAATTGTTGTAGTTGTAACATCATTCTTTTAATATATAAATAATTTACATTTATAACCTATATTATTAAAACATGATTAGGAAAAAATTGATAACAAATTGTATATTTAGAATAAATGATACAATATGAAAATACAAATTAATAAACTTTACGAATTTACAATATTTTTCCTTATAAGATTTTCACTGTCAATAAATAAAATACATAAGTGATTTTATTACATTCAATTAAATTTATCTGAGCAGTTTCTTTCCCACAATCCCTGCTGAGTATGACCTTAGAATGGATCAACTATCTCCGTTTCTTCTCTTTCATTACTTGAAAATAATCAGTAAGGGTGAGTACTTCTCGTCCATCTAAGTCTCTTTTAATATAAATTAATTACCAGTAATTAGAGTTATAACCTAATATCCTATTCTAATTCATTATTAACAGGGTACAGTTCATATTTACATTCATCACATCCAAATACATACAATCATACAATTATCAATTAGAGCACATACCACAATTCACTCATCATACATACATTTTTATGTTGACCTGTATGTTATTATATATGTGTCATATTATTTCAATTCATATGTCACAATACATATGTCCTAGTGAGTGATATCCGTCGATGTACTACAACGCACGTATCATAACAACATAAATCGATCTGTTACGATATATATATAATAATTATACATATTCTATATCATATCCCATCTATAACACTTTTCATCATAATTGCCTCTGGGATCCCTTGAGGATTTCTAGCATAGATAGCTACTGGTTGGCCGTAACATCACGGATACACGCGTGCTGCTCCAACCCCTTTTAGTAAAGGTATAGTTAGGAGCTTCGTCAGGAGATGAGGGTGTGGCTTGTGAATGTTTATTTTCAATAATTTATTGTGCACCCTTCTCATTGTTAACATTTACCATCCTCATTTTCCCAAGATTTTCCAAATCTTCCCCTTAACTCTATACCCCAGTGTATCGCTGTACTATCTATACTCATTCTCTTTCTCATTCTCAACATTTCTCATTTCACTTTCTTTATATCAATCAGCATGTCATGATTCATCAGTCACAATTTATATAAATTCATGGATTACAATATATATGATAACACACCCTTTCAATGTGCTATAATTTATATCATAATCACTCCGTTTCAAGTTGCGTGGACTCATGCATTATAATCACGCCTCATATTCTTTCTCAATCATATTCTCATTTCTCATTCATACATCACATGCTTTCACTTTCATTCAACACTTCATTCCTTTCTATAATTCTACTTATATTGCATACATTTCAGTCATCACTTTATACCTATACTTATTGCATCATACTAGTTTAATATATAAAGTGGTCATACAAAGTCATATCACACAACTAATACAATACATCAAACTTATCACAGAGACTACCACACAATGTCACACCATACAATCAATACAATATGCTGAGGGTCAAACACCATCGGACTCAGCCCAGCTCGTACAATCTCAATATATAGTCTCCTAACCTAAAGTTCATTATAGTATATCTTTTATTACTTAATTCATATACATCTTAAAAAACTCAATTCTAAAATCTCTTAATACTACTTAAGCCCATATTTTCTCTAAAAATATGATATTATTAGTTTAAAATAAACTCCAAACCTCTCTTTATATCAAAATACACCTTTGTCATATGATACTATCAAAATTTACAGAACTTTACTAAGTAAGATACTCATATTTCTCGAAATACCACTAGATTTATTTATACATATATAACTACAGCTAGAAAATACTCCCCTTACCTGATAACGATTCCTCCAAACTAGTTCTCTAAGTGATCTACGGAGAGATCCACACTATCCACGGAGAGATCTTCCAAAAGATAAGA